CATTTTCATGTCCTTTCAGTACACGTAGGCACTTCAAACCATTCACCATAATCACAAACTTTTTTTGAGGAGGTCACCGAGCGACTTCCAAAACTATACAAAAAAAACCATATAGATCATAAACAAAAATTTGAATTCTAAAATAACAGAAATATCAAGAAGCAATTTGATAGAGGAAAACCCAACAATTCTTTAGCAGATTTGTCAAAATGTAAGCAAGCACAGATTCAGTTTCTATACTTTGTCAACAATAACTTAGCAATTTTGCTTTGAAAACTAAGTACTATAAACATACCTATTTTGAGCCATTACTGAGGGACATCAAATGCAATTCAATCTAGACACAGTGTAAAGAACCAACACCGATGAGCCCCATTTCATCATTACCCATGGAAACAAAGCACAAAGCCAAATACGTATAAATGCTAAGACTTTGGAATGCCTGAAGAATAAAACAAGCAAGAACAAAACAAGAAGCTCCGTACCTTTTTTGTTTTGATTCGCACAGACCTCCTTCCCGTCAAAAACCCTAGTTCCCAATGTCTGCGCCTCTCTATTATATCCTTCAAGAAGAGTACGAAGAAGAGTACTTGAAGAAGAGGACTGAGGGTTACATTTGGAATTTCAAACACTATTAATAAGGAACGTCGCGGAGAGGCTGTAATTAATGGTGGCTTTGACAGTACCCCTCCAATTAATTACTGGATAGCTAGAGAGACCGTGCAGTACATTTCTTAAATTAATGGGACCTGGCAGTTCTATTCACAAAATAGAAGGTACATGGGAGTAATTTTGTGTGTGTGTGACAAACATGGATGACCTCATATAAACCTCTCATATAACTCTTATACTTCTATATTTTAACTAATCAAAATTTTCAGTTTTGATACATATATTTTTTTAGATTTAAGTTTTTAAAGTTAAAATTTGAGAAATTATTGTTTCACATAATTTGAGAAATGTTAGAATTAAATCCGAAAGGAGACAAATGAGAAACGGAAAAATTAAAATTGGATAGAGAAAAATGAGAAACAAAAAAAATTGAATATGGACAGAGGGTGTAAAAGTTAATTGAAAAAGTGAAGATAATACGGAGTATGATATTTTCAGGATTGTTGCTAAATCTACTTCGCATTTGGCTACATACACCACTTTTTATATGAAATAGACAAGCTTATGTTTAATGTTTAGAAAATAGAAGAAAGAAGTGAACAATATCACACTTTTCAAGGGAGGATAAGTGAATATTTTCTTTTATGCAAAAGGTGTAATTTTTTCATAAATTAAACATAGACTTTAGAACCTTGTAAGAATTTGCCTTAACATCATACTCCCATTGTCCCTTAAAAACTTTCTTCTTCTTTTTTTCACTTGTCCCAAAAATATATTTTTTTCTATTAAAAAGTCATTTTTACCCCTTATTTTTTCATACTATACCCATCACATCTCACCTTTTTACTAATAATCTACGCATCAAATCCTACTTTGACCCATCACATCAAAGGAATTTTTTTAGAAATTCAAAACCAAAATACATTTTCCCTTAAATGTCTTAAAAATTAATTACTCTCATGTTTTTAGAACTGGAGGGAGTATATTTTTAGTGAATTAATTATGGGGAAGAAATGAGAGTCTAATTTGGAGATATTCAATCGGAGCATGCTACATGTACCCCAAAATTTGTACCCTATTTGTGCACCAAAGGTATGCACCAACATTTTGATGGTTCACACTGACACAAAGTGTTGGTGTGGTAACAAAAATTTACACTGACACAAAGTGATGGTGCATTAACAAAAATTAGCATTACACCAACACAAAATGTTAATGCATTGTACAAAATGAGGTATAAATTCTCATTCAATTTGGAAGGTGAGACTTTCCCACTCGGTAAAAAGTTGAAAACTACCCCCTTCCTACAAAAGGAGAATGCTAAAGAGGCACCACGTGTGCCTCCAAGCATGCCACCCAATATATTTTAATTTTAATTTTCTTTCAATTTTCCTTTTTTGGGTGGCTTTTCGTCTCCCGCCCCCAAAATTCCCAAATCTCCCTTCTCCCGCTTCAACCTCTACAACCTCACCGTCCTTCTTCTCTGTTCTTCTTCTCCGGCATCTACGACGAATCCACAACCTGTCCTAGAGCATAATTGCAAACTCCTACTCCTGTAGGATTGATTCCGCATCCGGTGTTGTCGGATCATCTACAAAGTAAGAATACTTTTCTTAATTATTTTCATTAGATTTATTACATGTGATAATTTGGGGAAAGAGATGAATGTTTTTTTGAGCAGTGAAACCCTAGGATTACACATTGGGGGATGCAGTGTCTAAATTAGGACTTGTATGTAGTAAATGGTTCATAAATATAAACTCTGTTCATAAAAGATCTCTGAAACTTGACTGGTCATGGATAGAATTTAGAGGCTGCAAATGTTAAAAGATCTCTGAAGCTGCATAAAAGAGACGGCAGTGGAGGAAGAATTGTAAGGTTGAAGATCTCTGGATCTGCATAAAAATGTTAAAAGTTAAATGTTAAACTGCAAAAAATGTTAGATTTTTACAATCTGCATAAAAGATCTCTGAAACTTCTCACCAGTTAATATGATGGAGAAGTAATTCTAACTTTTATTTTTGCTTACTGTGTGAATTGTACGGCATAGATGGTTAAGTTCTGTTATTTGAACTTCATATAACATTATTGTCTGTGAAAAAGGTCTGCTTGTTATTTTTCCTTGCTTTCTGTGAATTGTATCTCATAGACGATTAACTTCTGTTTATTGAACTTCATATATGATTATTGTCTGTGTAGATATTTAACTTCTGTTAATGCAACTTCATTTCAGACGATGTCTTTGTTAAACCCCCTGTTAGTGCTCATTTCGAAGCTCAATACTCAGTTTGTTCTGACATCCGTGAAGCCATCAATAACATTGAGAAGAAACCGAGTCCTAGTCAATTAGAAGCATTTCGCAGGACTCCAATTGGACTCTAGGTTTGTTCGCCTTTATTTCGTTATGGTACTCCCATGGACTCGTGAAAATCATACACCCCTACTTATTTTAATATTATTTTCCCTTGCACGTATGGCAATTGTGAAGTGATGGTGCTAGCATTTCTAGAGTATTTGTTGGTGGGCTTACCATTAAGCCCGGACTGCAGTTCTGAACACATGGCTAATTTCCGATGTCAATTTGCAGCTAGGTTATGGCGTGGAAGGAAAAGAACCAATATTTAGCTTTTTTACTTTACAAATTTAGGGGTCTTTAATTTTTGTGAAACTCTTTGTAATGGTTTTTGTGCTTTGTAATGTATTTTTTGGGAAAACACTTTAGATTTTTTTGAAAGCTTTGTAATGGGGCTTTTATAATCATGAATTTCTACTTGTTAATGCACAATTTGTTAATGTATGTGATGACTGATTTACATGAGTTTATGACTGATTTAAAGATTTACTTTCAGAGCCCTCACAGAGAATAACTGTCTATTTTACCCATTACATAGAGATTTAATGTATGTGACGATAGAGTTACATAACTTTATGCATATACACCATCTTCAGAATCTTATCACATATGTGAGGGTCTTGTAAAGGTAAAAAGAAAGTTAAAACCCATACATTAGATTTCATGGTGCTCACATGGAAGAACTGTCTATGTCACACACTTCACAGAGACTTAATGTATGTGAAGACAGAGTTACATCAGGTTTACATCAGTTTATGTGCATGGAACTCAGAGAAAGTTATCATATTTGTTACATACTTTACACAAAAAGCAAAAATAAAAAAAGTTATGTGATTTACAGTTCCTATGCTCATTCCAACGATATATTCTAGATTTCGTAGGACTCAAGTCATTGTTATGTAATAACTGCACAACGGAGATCTTTCATATTCCATCACCATCACATGACGCAGTTACTCTAGCTTCACATCCCAATTGCATTGTTGGCCTCGGGTGGAACACATCTTGTGTTTTGCTCTTGTTATTTCCTTGTCGACTACACACAAATGTAACACTTCCAGGAGTTCCATCTTTGGCTTTGCGAGTTGTCCTAGTCCGCATTGGAAATTCTTTACTTCGAGCATAAACCAGATAGTATTCTCGGATTTCTTCAATGCTTGTAAACTTCATCCCCACTTCAGGCACGCTACCTTTGTTTCCTTTAGAAGGACACTGACCATTGTTCCTGACATCATTGTTAATGTCATCTGTGTTCTGTCCGATCTCACCCCTCGCCTATTCTTGCCCTTCCTCGTTAAATAAATATTGAAAGCAAGGATCGTTAAGAAGCAAATCTGGTTCAAAAGCTGCAAAAAAACAGCACGTTTAATATAATACAATGTCTGACTATGAAGAAAACAAAAATACACCAAATGCAGAGTGCATACAGATTATTAGCATCTGTGACAAGGACAAACCCTAGGTTCACAGAACTTTAATCTCTGTAACACCAAAACAAAACAGTATTTTTTCACTACTTTAAATGAATATAGAATGGGGTCTAAATATCAACACTTACAACTGGGCTGCAAGTCATATAAAACTAGGTCTTCTTCTTCACCACCAAAATCATTTGGCTGATCATTCTCAACATGTGTAACAATACATGTTTGTAAGTCCATAATCACCAAATACCCTATGTACTCTACAAAAATTCAAAAAATTATTGTTATACAAATTGACTAAAAATGGAATGAAGAGAAGAGATTGACAGAGGGATGATCGTGCTACAGGGGTTGACACATTAGAGATATGAAGAGGAAGATAAGAAAAAGAAGATATTACCTGCAGGAAGGAGAGCGTAAAAAAGGGAGAGGAGAGTCGTGCGGCTGGCTGCGCGGAAGAGCAGAGCCGCCAGAGAAAGAAAAAAAGTTGTAGAGGAAAGAAAAAAGAAAAAAAGAAAGAGAAAAGGTAAAAAAACTTAAATAAAGAGGCAGCAAGTAGGCAGGAGCGGGTGAGCACATGCTACAAAAACTATCCTCCATTGCCTTGGAAAAAGGACAAAAATAATGAAAAATAATGAGACTTGTGAAAAAGTCGAATTTTGTCGGTTCAAAATGTCAGGGGCCTGTAGTTGTAGCATTTCCAAACGATGAATGATCATAATCCGCTGCATTCCAAGTGAGAAGGTGATAACGATTCTAATTACTCTCTTTGATTTTTTCTTTGTTTTGTTTTGGGATCGAATCTGGTGCCTTTAGGATTATGCCCTTCTTCTCGACAATGATACATACGCCTAATTGCTTCTTTCCCCCCTATATTCCCCGTTGAATTCGGTTACTTTCAGTGTTCTTATATGGGCTAGGTTTTGGAAAGCTATATTTCTAACCACATTTTGTTAAAATTTGGAGTTTAACCCATCAATTATGATACATCAATGGAAGCAAGTTCTTGCCATGATTTTCTGTGTGTTTATTTTTGAATCACTTTCGTAGATTGGGCAATGAATATGTTGTTCCCTCACAGTTTGATGCATTCTTGATGTAAAGCAGCTTTATATTTTATGACAACGGCATATTGGGGGCATTGGCAGAGCCATGAACCAAAATCCATCTGTGCTTGGTCGACCTTCTTCAAGTATGAGTTTGAAGTCTTGAACTGTCTCTTCAAATTATGTACATGATCAATTGTAATGGATTAATTCTCACTCGTATATTATATATTTAAGTTTTTTTATTTTTCGGGTACGAGTATAGATAAAATTCCATTTACCCAACATTTCATAAAAAAGGTCTAGGGGAAATTCCATCCCGGACCCGACAAGGCGTATATCCGATAAATAAATCATATATATACAGATAGAATGATATTATTTAATCATGTAAGTTTTTTTTGGCCTTTATCTAAGTATATAAGTTATAACACATAAAAGTGTTGACTTTGAAAGTTGAACGTTACATAGCTGCATTGAAACAATAATGTGTTAGAATGACTTCTCACTTTGGATTCATACTTATATTTAGTATTGCATGCTTTTTTTAGAATGATTGCGATTGAATAATTGTAATTCATGTAGAAAAAAAAATACTTTTTTCTTGTTTTTTAGGACTAGAACGTGGTCATGTAAAAACATCCACAAGTTGTGAAAATCTATCTATTTTTGTCGTATTTCAATCTGATCCGAATATGAACCCTGTCTAAACAAGAAATGGAAATCTTTGTGACATTTAAAGTCAGACAGGTTCAGGTCTAGGAAGTAGGAACTTGAAAGATAGACGAGATAGACCTGTGTCTTTTTTTAACGAGTGTGGCTCTAGAACTGTCAATCATGATTGTGGACCAGCTCATTCACTAGCCTATCCTTAGCTCATCCCCCAGCTTCATCCCTGACCATTATCTTAATAAATTTCAACACTCATTGTCATGTTTTTTTAAAGGAATTCTTATAAGTTGGATGTAGATTATGGTTTGCACTGAATTTCACATGACAAGCTATCATGTAGTGATTTGATCCATTTCTCCAGATTTAGTAATTTATTTCCTTTAATAATCAAGCTATCATGTAGTGCTTTGATGAATTTCTCCAGGTAAAAGAAGATTAAAAGACCTTTTACTACAAAGTGATAATCGTGTATGTGCTGATTGTGGTGCTCCTGATCCTAAATGGGCGTAAGTTCCTGCTCTTATATGCCCACTGACTTTATCCATTCGTGAGCATGTCTATATATTCTTATTTTTATGCATATCAAAGTCCCCTTCTCTTGCAATTTTAAATGGCTGATATACAAACGCTTGTTTCTACTTCACTAGTTTTGAATGCTCCTTAGCTTCCACCGCAATGGGTTTGCTTATAAGCTCAAAGTTTTGTGCACATGTACGTATGTTAATGCTTATGACTTACCATAATTATCAGGGAATGGATGTAATCTTACATTCCACGCAGTGTGTATTTATGATCAAAATGAGTATAAGGCCCTCAAATACATTATTTCTCTGACCTCTATTGTTGTATTGAGTTTAACTCACCTTAAAGTGATTTTCAAGCGGTGAGTTTTACACCAACACCAAGAACAACCTTGTATAGTCCCAAGCCCATTGGCATTTGGCAGGTCAAGATGCACACAACCATATCCTTGTAAACAGAGAGGTTGTTTTCGTTAGACCCTTGATGGATTGGCACATTTACTTCCCAAAACTTCATAGAAAGTTAGAAGCAAGGAGAGTTTGATGTAGTCCATTACATAGTTGTTGCAGCGGCTAGGTGAGGCTGGGCGCCAGGGTACCTTCTAGTCGCCTAGGCGATTTGGCGTCCACCTAGGCGTCCATTAGGCGAGTGCAATATATATATTTTAAAAAGGAATAGAACACATGTTATTTTTAAAAAATAGAGTTCCTAATCGCTTAAGGCGCGCGCTTCATCGCCTTGTGTGTTTCAAGCTAGGCGTCCAATCTGGCGTCTCCATAAAATCGCCCCTACGCCTAGGCGACGCCTTGATAACTATGGTCCATTATTTACCCAAAGCTAAAATATTGTTAAGATTGACTTTTTTAACCATTGGCAATGGATGGTGAGTTTTACCTCACATGTTCATACAAGACCCAAACCTAGAAAACAACTAATGTAGGATACTCAACGTTCATGAAGTTGCTCATAAGTATTAAATGATGGTCTGCAGTATCAGTCAGTCACATGCCGCCAGTGGCTTGTTCTAATCATCCAGAAATTCGGCACTTAGTCACCTTACTTGACTTGAAAAGCTTATGTTGACTACTACTTTGTTGGTAGATAGATATCCCCTGGAATCACTTTAGTTCATTGCATGTAGGGATGTAGCCCCAAGATTGCTTTTAGTGTTGGTGCAACAGTTTTGCCTACTTTACATACAATAGTAATGGCTGAGATATTTAACTGATTATTCTTGGTGGACTTGTCACAATTTACCAGTAATACTCCTATATTTGGAGATACCAATGGTGTTAATTATTGTCCTACCTTGTCTAATATCCTATGTTCCTGCAATGGGGAAAATGTCGGCCAAAGAAGTTCTGTAACCAAGGCCTTGTGCACAAAGGGTTCTTAAGTTTGAGATTACCTAATTTAGCACACAACTTTATGGCACTAGGCTGTTTTGTTCTGCAAGTCTGTAATCAATGCCTAGATTCGTGATTGTGTTATCCAATTTAGAGCATGTTATCCCAAACTTTTTACTTATTCTTATTAGAATCAGATTCGATTAGACTAGATCTATTCAGATCAGATCCATTCATATGAGACCACATGAAATAAAAAAACATGTACTTCATATGATAATAATAATAATAATCACTAACAATAATAATAATAATAGTAATAAATTGACCTACCCAAAAAATAATATTCATCAAATGGTCAATGTTTATTTATTATATAAAATACACTTTTAAGGACAAACTCCGTTATTACTAAAAAAGTATATCGAAATTTAAAGAAAAAAAACATTTTTTGTCATCTCTTGTTTGTATAATTTTTAATGTATTTTTTAAATATGTAATTTGTAGTTCTTATTTCTATACCAATCTGTAGATGATTTTTTTCAAAAGAGATGAGATTTTTTAGAAACATTAAAAATATGAAGAATAAAAAAACGTTTTCAAAATTTAGAAAATATGAAATTTTGAAAGAGTTCAAACAAAGCAAAAAAATTAAAACTTTCGAAATAGTTTTGATATACTTTAAAATAAACAATAAAAAATTCAAAACATATTCCAAACAATTTAATAAATGTGAGATTATTCAAGAAAATATTACTCTTTGTCCTTAAAAGCTCTTTGTTCATAGAGTCCAACCACATCTGTTGTCTTTAAATATTTTCATTGGTTAGTTGTTAATATGAGATAGTCAAATCTCCTTTTGTTTTGTAGAACCTTTGATGTAGTTTTCAAGTATATAATTTTTTTTTACTTTTCTACCAGTAGTTAAATAACATAAATTAAAATTACTTGAGTCGGACATTGTAAACTGCAACGTAAAGATCTTATTAAGCTAGAGCCTAGAGGGAATGTTATACCTTAACCAGTATAGCCCAACTACTATACAAATTGTGTTAAAAACCAAATAACTTCAAACCCCTTTCAAATGCGGTGGATAATTATTTCAAAGGATAAAAACTTTGTAAAACACAACTGTTTTACAAATGTTCAAGTTTCATTGTGTCTGCATCACTCCGGTCTTGCTTCCTTTGCTCCGCATCCAAATCAGTTTTGGTACTTACGTGTAGTCACTGAGAAGCCAACACACTCAGCAACTTATTGCTTAGTGGTTCAACAGAATATATTTCCGATTTAAGTTTGCTAATTAATAATTCATGCCAATATATTTTAATGAACAATACTTCTACAATTCATCACTTGTTCACAATATCCAATATTCACGAAATATGTTCAATATCCATAGCTTCATTTATCTAAAATCTCTATATAAAATTTGAAAATTTGAATCAATTTTTCTAAATCAATCCAATATTTATTCCAAAAAGTCATTTAGCAATAACTTTTGATTAACAATGTTTATTTCACAACTAAACCCTCATCGTTGAAATTCCGTAAGCATCTTGAATATAAGTTTACATAACCATGGATTACCTGATAAAAATCATACATTTCTGATCTATGAAAGTGTTTTTTTATAAAATGTATAGTGCTTTGGCCGTTCTAGTTGATTAAACCTATTATCGCTTAATAAACATAAAATTAGTACAAACAAATTTATAAAAGTGATCTTTTGATGAACACACCAAAGTGAGTTAATACAAGGTTGATCATCACCTTCTCTTTCATTACAAATATAGCGAAGAAGCTTCATTGTATACATCTTAGTTTCATGAAGCTTTGGCATTGACTCACAAATGATGGTGAACACGATTAAGCTCTTATAGAACTTCTCACGATGCACCTAAGGTCACAATCCATCTAAGGCATGAACTACAACACACTCAGTATTTTTCTTGTTGTTGGTGTTACTATTGTTATTGTATGCTTTATTGGATGCTCTATGTCCATCGTCCAACAACAATGTTGCCTCTATCGTTCCAATCACTTCCTACTCCTCTACTATCACTACCACATGCACATCAAGAAGCAATTAGTGAAGCTGCACTTGAACCGCCATCGACGATGACCAGACAATCCAATATTTATTTTACATGCCAAGAATTCATCGTTGATTCTAATATGCTAAGTTGCAGAATGATCGCGTGGTAATTTTCTATTTTACTATTAGCGAGCCACATCCAGCTATGCTAAATTCATCTACTGGGCTTGCTAATTGAAGTAATGCCAATGGTTGCTTCTTTGAAGTAGTTACTCCACTAATTGAAGGCTTGCAATTGATGCCATTTGATTGAGGAAAGTGCTGCTGCAACATATCTCTCTTCATGCTTGAGGACAAACTTGATGTCAAAGAGGGGTGAAATCACACGGTCATTTATGATTATGGTTGTGGTTGTGGTTATCGTGGTCGACTGGTCGTGGTCGTGATTCTGGTTATCCTATTATTAGTCTTATTAATTTAGTTAATATCCCTAAATAAGGATTCATGTTTCCTAGTAAAGTTATGGTAGGTTTCTTATATGGCATTGCTTATTTATACTCACACAATCGGTAATAAAATTATCAATAACAAGAGCAACAGCCAGTTGGATCCCACGAGAGTAGGGTCTGGGGAGGGTGTGTGTACGCAGATCTTGCCATTACCCGAAAGTAGAGAGGCTATTTCCATAAGACCCCCGGCTCAAGCTGCACATAAAAAGATCACAATGGATACATAAAACAAGGAAACCACAGCTACAATGCAATAAAGCACCAAGCACACAAAATTAAATTTAAACTATCTTAAGTAAAGTTACGAAACAAGAGTATTGCAAGCAAATAGCAAAAAGCACTAAGCATAAAAGGCCTACAAAGCACACACAACAACAACACCCCCTAGCTCAAGGTACCTACCCATCTACTCTAATCCTATCTCTCCACGTTCCTATCTAAGGCCATATCCTCAGTAAGAGCAAGAAGTCCGAAGTCATGTCTAATCACTTCCTTCCAACTCTTCCTAGGTCTATGCCTTCCCCTACCTTCTACCAATGAAGCGTCTCGCATCTCCGCACATGAGCGTCAACATTCTGCCGTCTCACATGACCTAACCACTTCAACCTAACTTCTCGAAGCTTATCCTCCACTGGCGCCATGCCTAACTGACCTCGAATAGCTTCGTTTGGAATCTTATCCAACCTCGTCTGCCACACATCCACCGCAACATCCGCATCTCTGTCGCATGCAGGCACGTGAATCTTCTTAACTACCCAACACTCTGCCCCATAGAGCATTGCTGGTCTGGCTATAGCCCTACAGAACTTTCCTTTCATCCGAGGCAAAATCTTCTTATCGCACAACACTCCTGAAGCCAACCTTTACTTAGCCCAAGCTGCTCCAACACGGCTAACTCGCCAACTGTCTGAATTACCGAGCCAAGATACTAAAACTTGTCAACCTTGGGCACTAGGTGAGAGTCAATCATCACTTCCACCCTTGACTCTGTCTCCCGGCCACTGAAACGACATTTGCAGAAAACCACCTACCACCCCATCCAAGGAATCCCAAAACTCCCTCTTAACTTTGTCCTCCAAGCCAACATGTAGGGCGTAGGCACTTACGACATTAATAAAATTATCAATAACCAAAGTCAAAACTCTTATTATGTTATTATGAGAAGCTAATCACAAACCGCTCCCCCCTCCTTCCAGCCATGAATAGCGAATGATCAATATCTTCTTCCATTACACTTGCGAATGCGTTTGTAATACATGTGTCAAGAAGATAAACTTGCTAATGCGTTTGTAATACATGTGTCAAGAAGATAACTCTTGTATTTTTGTCAGCACGACACATGCTGTCATTTTGGCCATATCATATTCTATACTCCTTTAATGTCGTAACTCAAGATGCATTAGGAAGAAGTCTCATTGAGTTACAATTGCTAATGTGTTTGTAATACATGTGTCAAGAAGATAACTCTTTTTTTTTCTCTAAATGCACGACTAAGACTAAGGCTCACCAAGGAGAGGGAGATTTTAGATATGAAATGTAGTTCAAGCCTTCAACAGAAGTTGATGTTTCTTATAAGTCATCTACTCATCTACGCTGGATGAAAGTGGATGCATTTTAACAGACTTTTATTTAATGTTTTATCTTCATATAACAACCAAGTGAAATTCCACAAGAGTAGCGTCTGGGGAGGGTATGTGTAATTGTGTATGCAAACCTTAACCCTACTTGAAAGTAGAGAGGCTGTTTCCAAAGAGACCCCTTGCTCAAGCACCACATGTAATCACGCACGTACGCAGCCTGACCCCTATGTTTAAAACATATAGCGGTTGTTTCGAGATGACCCATGATGAGCGTCGAAAGTTGCATGACTAATTGCTACTTCACTATTAATTGAAGTGCAAACAGTTTAAAGAGCCATTTTACTTTAATCCAGCAAACCCTAAAGCCAAAAATAGTGAAGTTTTGGCTCCATCCAAAATGATGGAAAAATGCTCTATATGCATGTTCAACAATATTAACAGTCATCAATATAATTAACAAGCAGGTTGTTAGATGTGACACATTCAAAATTATCATAATTTAAACAAATTTCTATCACATGTTTTTTTGCGTGTTTTGTGTTTGCTTGCATATCTGAATGCTCAGGGTGTTTTCTTTACTTCCAGATCAGCCAATATTGGAGTTTTTATTTGCTTAAAGTGCTGTGGTGTGCACAGAAGTCTTGGCACTCACATATCAAAGGCAAGTCTTGTCATCCCACTTCAATTTTGTCAATTGTTTCTACAATCTATAATATAGCAAAAGTTAACATGTCGCTCAACTCACTAGCATATATGTTACGTTGTTACTGAAAAAGATTGATTAATACGAGAACTATTGTAATATTATGTTTTTTTCTTTAGATTCTCCTTTATTTATTCTAGAGCTTACTAAATCAGAAAACTCAGATGCAGAAAACCAACCCCCTTTGTCTACCTTCTGTCCCCCTTTTCTCTTCATTTTCTGAGACTAAACATGATATCTGCTTTTATCCTGTCGATGTAAAGGTGAAACCTTGTCTGCGTAGTGTGTACATACACATGGTTTGCATAGTTGCATGCTTAACACATGCAACTTAGCATTCAAATTTGGCGGTTTGACTGAGGATTTGTTTATTAGTGAACTAAATATTTGCTCAGGGGGTGCATGTGCCCAAAATTTACAAATGAGAAAAAATAGGAAGGTGGTTGAAGAAAGTTCAAAGGGTATGATATCGATCCCAAAGGAATCAACTAAAGAGACGTTATTGCATTGAGGAACTTCATGAAATCAGAGAAATATTTTTTGCGAGTCCTTAAATTTGTAAATAGACCTTTGATATTCCTTGAAATAGAAAGGAAAGAATCAATGTGGGCCAAAATGAAAGGAGGGTAAATAAAAAGGGGACGGAGGGAGTATATGTTTGTCACTTTGTCTTTGTGTTTTTGTCTTTTTCCATCTAACGGTTGCAATCTTGCAGGTCTTGTCTGTGACTCTAGATGAATGGTCAGATGATGAAGTTGATGGAATGGTTGAGGTTGGAGGAAATGCATCTGCAAATTCAATTTACGAAGCTTATATCCCTGAAGGAGTTTCAAAGCCTACTCCAGATGCAGGTCATGAGCAGCGCTCTTCATTTATCAGGTTGGTTTTTTTATCAGGAAACGTTTCTGCTGATGCATCTTCTTTACTTTTTGAATTTTTCTGCACATGTACTACACTAACCATTCATGTCTAATGCCTCTCATTAGGCATCAGTTCTTAATAATTGAACACTTCAATGGTCCGTGAACCAGAAAAAAGATGTATCCCTCAGAGAGACTAAATTTACTCTCTTTGTACCATTATTCACCATCACTACTGTTTATTTACCTTAGGCTTATACTACTTTCAAATGGAGACACTCAAGCGGAGGCTTACAAATGAGTCCAAATCGGCCTTCAAAATGGGTTCCCCCAAACTATCTAGTGGGCATGTACTCTGCATATTATTAATGGACCATACTGATATCATGTGAAATTGGTACTAAATTCATCGTAAAAAGATTCTCAAGTGGTGAGATTTTACTCACACTTTTATACTAGACTCAAAGCCTCAAACCAGTGGACAATTGGTGCGATATACTCACTAACTATGGAACTCAAGACTAGGGTTAGGGTGCAAGACAACAAGACATGCTAGGATTAACAGGTTGTTTTGAACTCCAAAAGAAAATCATTTGTTCTGAACCTTTGAATCCATGCTAATGGTTAAACGCAATATATACCGTACAACCGGTTGTACGGTGTTTCCCACACATCCGCGGCGAGTACTCATTTACGAGTAAGTGAATACTCATTTTCGAGTAACTGAGTACTCATTTTCAAGTAATTGAATAATCATTTTTCTAAAACTCAGTTACTCGAATGAATATTCGTGCGGATGTATGGGAAACACCATACAACGGGATGTATGGTATAGGTACTCATGGTTAAATAAACCAACATATACAGAAACTGCATCTCAACCACAAACCATGTTATGTAGCCAGTTTTTTGTCTGTTGATCAAATATGTCCCTTTCTTTAGGTCTAAATATGAGCTTCAGGAATTTTTAAAGCCTAGCCTGCGAATTTCATCAAAACAAAAAAGGCAATCTCTTCCAGCTGCAGATGGTTTTCGAAGTTCAAGTTCAACACAGAAATCTGTAAGTTCTTGCCTGTGTATATATGGAGATGTGCAAAGTTTTTGTGTTGGTTGAATGGATTCTTTTGACAAGTTAACATGGATGAAGATTCCTGGAGTTAATTTTAAAATGATTCTAAAAGCATTAATTTCATTATATTTACATGGTCACGCCTATGCAGCTTACATTGAACTTGCTAACAGGAAGGTTTAGTGGAATTCATTGGAGTATTGATGATTAAAGTAATGAAAGGCACAAACTTAGCTGTCCGAGACATGTTCTCGAGTGATCCATATGTTGTTTTGACTCTTGGGCAACAGGTCCTTTTTTTTCTCTTTTACTAGGAAGTAAGGACATTCAAATTGAAGTCGACTTAACCTTTGTGGTTCTCTTTTTCTCAATTACTTCCAGTGTCACACACAGACACACACAAGCACAATTACACACAGGATATTACTCAAAATACCTTGACTCTTATAAGGTATATGAACTTGATAGGCTGCCTAAGTATTTGACTACCTTTGTTTTAATAGTTTCATGGCATGTTAGTGTTCCATTGTTTTGTTTTACATATCATCTCTGTATACTGTAAATTTGTGAAGACTAGAATTGGAATTTGAACCACACTGCTATTTTCATCAATCCATTATCCATGTCTATCTCTCTCTCTCTCTATCTCACTTGGTTTTGTTTCACAGAAAGCACAAACCACTGTGATGAAGAGCAGTTTGAATCCTATTTGGAATGAGGACCTCATGCTTTCTGTTCCTCAAGATTATGGACCATTAAAGCTGGTAATAGTTTTCCTTCATCTTCTTTTTTCATCATGTTTTTGTTTTCTTTTATGCATGTTAATATCGTTCTGTTAATTCAATGACTTTTAACAGTGAGTTTTACTCTTATTCTATGTAATTTTCTATCTAGGTTTCCAAATGATGCATTGATCATCACTCAACTTGACTTTTGATTTTATAAGTTTAGCTTATATGAATATTTATGAACACAGGCATTTTGGTACAAGGACATGTCCGATAATAAGTGCATTTGTAGCCTCCCAACTTTTATATTTATATTGTATTGTTAGTTTAGTATGCTTCATTTCGTCAATTGCTAATGAGCTCGGAGTTATTATTGACAATGTTTTGGTTTCAAGGAAATTGATAGATTAAATCAAAATGGCACATCTAACTTCCCTTGTACTTTCTATGAAGTTTTGGATAGATTTTACTTTGTCAAACCTTCTAAATTTATACCACATTCCAGGAAGTTTTTGATCATGACACATTTTCAGCAGACGATATAATGGGGGAGGCCGAGATCGACATTCAGTCTCTTGTGACCTCTGCATTGGGATTTGGTGATCCCGAAATGTTTAGCGATATGCAGATAGGGAAGTGGCTGAAATCGCCTGACAATGCACTAATCGAGGACAGCTGTGTAAACATCGTTGATGGGAAGGTGAAACAAGAAATGAAGCTCAAGCTGCAGAATGTAGAATCAGGAGAGATAGATCTGGAACTAGAGTGGATGCCTCTTGATCAATAATGTCTCTGTGTATATATATATAGATTGGATTGCATTGTTTTCCAGCTTCCTTTCTTTCTTTGCCTTTGGGCATGAATAAATTCTTCTCCTGAACTATTGAATCATGAAATGGATTATGTTTCAGTTGGATACTAATAATAAAGAAATGGGTTTTTCCCCTTATCCCTAAATACGTACTCGTCCTGTCTTATTTTAAGTTTTCGGTTGTTTATGATATTTGAATGAAATTACATCAAGACTTTTATAAAACAAGATGTGATATGACGATTTTGTTTCAGTAAATTCCAAAGCGATACTCAATAACTATGTATTTTCCCAAATTAGTTTTCAAGGTAAACTAATTAACGAGATAGTAGTTGTTAATTGAGAAAAATGTTCAGTTTAATAACAATACATAGTAATAAATGTTTAACTTAAAATGAGACGGAGGGAGTACTTTTTTTAAAGGTAATATCAAGTTAAGGGTTATAATTAAATCCTTAATCCCAAGTAGAAGGCTCAACTACATTGCCAACTTAGCTATCATACTTGTTATTAGTTCTATAACTACATATAGACTGCTTATACAAGATCTAGTAGTGTCACCTTGGCTGGTCCAAACCAAAAAGACTAAAACTGAATGAACTATTTTAAATCGGTTTTGTTTTCCCTTTTTTCAATCTTCATTCTTCAGAGATCGTACACAATCGCCCATTGAAGGCTCTAACCCTGATAAGCGGGCTGACCCGGGGTGGTCGAGCAGCCCTACCAGACCAAGCCTAATATTTTAGAGGTACCAATTTTTTCATTATATAGGTAATGGATAGTTAGATACTTGGATATTGTTTATGATTGAAGTTGGGCCCAAAGTATCCAACTCTGCTAAAAAGATAAGAAATCACCTCACGTAGAACTCTAAGGCTCTGTTCCGTTCAATTTATTTTTTCTGATTTGATCTGATTTTTTGTAGTTCTGATTTGATCTGATTGGATCTGATCTAGTCTGGTCTGATGTGATTGGATCTGATCTAATCTGGTCTGATCTAATTGGATATGATTTCATCTAATCTGATCCGATTAATTATTATTTGATTTAAAATTCAAATCAATAATTTGAGGTGACTTTATACTCCCTCCGTCCTGGAGTATTCGTCCAGTTTTGACTTTTGGAACTGTTCATCTAAGCACTTTGACTCATCAAATTCTCTCAATGTGTAAGTCTAAATATAGTCATGTGTGATCTTGTTTGATTTGTCTTAACATATAGATTATTAATATATAATTTCTATAATTTTTTAATATACAAATTACAAAATAAAATGGATTAAAGAAGTGTATTGGATAGTGTGTAAAAATGAAAGTGAACAAATACTCTGGGACGGAGGTAGTAATAACTTTTGAAAATTGTAATAATAATTCATGTTATAATATAATCAATATTTTTTATTTTATGATTATTTTTTAATGAAATAAAATTAGTTAATTCATACAGTAGAATAACCATCCATATTATAGTGTAATAATATTTTTTATTTTATGATTATATTTTTATGAAATAAGAATATTGATTTAATATTTTAATAATTAGTTCATAAATACATTAGAATAAATATTTAGTTCATATATACATTAAAAGGTAATTAAATTTAGATAATCAATATAGAGAAGAGATAGTATTTTTCCGACGTCTAATAATTAAGGATTACTTTCTCAGTTTCCCATTTAACTTGTTTCTAAAATTTATTCTTTTTTATTTTTAAGAAAAAATTGTGCTTCATATCATTTTATTTTTCTCTACATAAATTATAATCGCACAAAAGTTTCATTTTCTTTTTTCTTATATTTTTTCAAGAGAAATTTAATTTATTTTTTGAAAGAATCGTACCAGATGAAACAAGTAAAAAGTAAGAAATTTAAAAAGTATGGAGTAATAACGATGATGATGATAATAATAATAATAATAATCCTTGATTGGATCTGATCTGATCTGGTTTGATCTGATTGAATCTGATCTGATTAGATTTGATCTAATTAGATCTCATTTGATATGATCTGATTTTAATAAGAATAAGAAAAAAGCAGAAAAAATAAGTTGAACAGAACGCGGCCTAAGTCACTCAATATTACGCATATAAGACTCTTTAACCTTTTATATGAATTTAGTTATTTATAGTATCAATATCTTCCAAGCATACCCTCTACGTTTTATTATATTCTGCTATTTTTAATTACTTTTAATTATGTGATTAAACTTAGGTTATTCGCGTAGCCACTCCTTCTCATACGTGTAGCTCCTCCTAATTCGTGTGTCTCATACATGCGAGAACATCATCCTACGCTGTACATTTAATTAGATTCTGGTCTAAACTTGGTATGCCTAAATAGATTTTTTCTTTAGACCCAAGTACTCAACTCCCCTAAAAAGATGTAAGTTTTATTCAGATTCGGGTCTAAATTTGGATAAGCCTAGCCATGGGCTATTGGTAAATTATGACATTTGCAAAATTCGCAAGCCGACTGTGATGATTGACTTCGCGAAAGACCTTCTTTCACCAGTGGGGCGTAATTTAGCGGTTGTCATATGAGTGTTACAAGAAGAAATCTTGAGTTTGAAAGTCAGTGACTAGAAGTAACTATATAGTTCAATTTAGTTCCTCTCAACTAAATGTGCTCTTTTGGGGAAATTTTTTTCGGTAAAAGACCTTCTTCCACTTACAAAGGGGGCCCAACAGAAAACTTCTGGCTCAGATTAACTGTCTGTCCAATACGACAAACCTCTCCCTTCTCCTCTTCTTCCGCTCTAATCCACACACTCCTGTCTTCTTCTGTTTTTTTTTCTTTTTTCTTTTCCACAATTTCTTTCTACTCCGTAATAAGCAGGGTTAGAAGAAGCTTCCGGTATCAGTTCATTAGTGATAGAATCTTTGATTTTTCCACGCAAATTTCGTGGTATATAGCAATTCAAAGCCGAGTGTCTTTTCTGTAATCTGCTGTGTTCACATCATTCAAATGAATTGAGAATTGAAATGGTTGATTCTATCTGGTTCCTGGGCAAAGCATAAAGTAAGCTCCTTCAAAAAGGTTCTCTTTTAATTGTTAATTTACTAAATTTAAAAAAATTCCCCACCCGAAACCCTAATTTGAAATCTTTGCTGTCCTTTTTATGTCAATTTGATAATCGAGGGTCAAATTACAAACATTCAGTTCACATATTAACTTTCTATTGATACTGTTGCCCGACCTTTGTTTGGTTTGTGTTGCTAGGTCTGCAATTCTGTGTGAGGGTTATTTTTGTGCTAGCAATCAACATGACTTCATCCTCAAGTCATGACCATTCAGGTTTATTTATATACTATGCCACAATAGAAATGCGGACTTTTTCACATATTTTTATTTCAAATTTTGTAATGATGTGTTTTTTCTATAGATGCCTTTTTCTATAAAAGTTGTATCGATGATATGATTTAAGTGACTATCGTCCATCCACCTTGCTAGCTGATATCGGGCCTGTTTGAGAATAGCGTTAGCTATTAGCGTTAGCGTTTTGAAAAGGCTATTGTTTAGCGTTAGCGTTTTCAAAGTAATCTGCACCGTTAAAATTTTATCCAAAACGCTAACGCTAATCTCTAACGCTATTCCCAAACAGGCTCATCAAGTTCGAAGTTTCAACTTTCAATCACTGTATTTCTGAAGGGTCAATAATTGTCGTGCTATTGTTCGACTGCTTGTTCTTTTGTCCAAATTGTTCTTGCAAAGAGAATTTTGTTAGGTAGTCTAATCTACCACAGTATTGGTTCATCCATAGACTATGCCCATAGAAACAACCCATGTCCTTCGTGGTGCTGCCTCATATTGAATATCACAGGCTCGGCCTTTTCGGACACCTGTTTAGAAAAAGTTCTAAATATGATCAAAGTTAGTGTTTTTGTTCAAATTGACTCTTTTCTTTGGACAAAAAAATCAAAGTGGTCTCTTTTCATGGGACAAAGGGAGACTCCCTGTGTCCCAAAATGATCTTGTCGGCCTATTTAAGGAAAGAATTATTTGTTTCATATTATTTCTCTCATCACTTCCTCTACGTAAACTTCAATCACACAATTTTACTTTTCTTAAGCTTCTTATGATTTCATATGGGGAGATGAGTTTGGGACGGAAAGAGTGTATTGGTATGACTTTGGATTTGCTTATCTCAAGACATGGTGGTGGGCCCATAGCAATTACTCCCATGTAAAATCATATTCCCATGTGATTATTTGAAAATGGCACACATTTCAAGACTAGGGCAGCGTTCCGTGCAACTTATTTTTTCTGCTTATTACTTATTCTTATTATAATCAGATCAGATCACACCAGATCAGATCCCTCCAAATCAGATCAGAAACAACTTTAATTATAACTGCAATCAGATCAGACCAGATCTTCAAAAAATCAGATTAGATTAGGCAAACAGAACGTAGCCTAGGCTGACAATCTGGTTAGTGGGGTAATTTATCGGAGAATAATGGCTAGTATTTAAATTGGGTAGTTGAGGGTGAAAGTGACGCTTTACTGGTCCAAAATATCTAAACCGTACAATGGGAAGATGTTTTTTAGTACTATTGACTAAATTACAATGTTGTATCCGTGCATACATACGCTCTCAACTTACTAAAGCATAGATAGTCAACATCCCCGCTGGTGTTCGAACTTGGGCGAGCTTCCCATCCAGAATTCTTGGGATGATCCTTCTTGGTAGAGCTAAAATGGTAAGTGGGAAGAAGGTTTTTCAATGAAGGGAGTTGTATTATAGTCCATGGACGATTGGATGACGTAGACCAAGTCAGTGGGTCTACCTGAGAATGTCTCTTCTCAGCATAAAGCACAAATTATATCTTGAAGTTGCTAGTCTAGTGTTCTTATTCAAGTGGACTCTTTAAATTATATTAAAGTTGAGGCCATCTATGTTTTGTAGTTCACATCACTACATATGTAATATTTCCTGATATTCCACAATGTAACCATTCACAACATTGGTAATGCCACCTATCAAGAACTCTGTATTATGCACGCAGTTTTTCTACTGGTTGTAATTGTTGAAGATCGTGATTTTTGTTTCAAAAATTGACCTTAGGCCATTTCTGCACTTGTCGTTCTGTGCTTTTCTTTGCTTGTTGCTTTTTCCCTTTGTTAACCTTAGTTTGCTCTTTTACTTTATACCGTGCTCTCTGCTTTCTGTGTTTTTCGGTGCTCACTATGATGCTTGTGTTACTCGAGCTGGGGTCTCTAAGGAACAACCTCTCTACTCTCGAGTAAGGTTAAGGTCTGTGTGCACCTTCCTTAGACCATGCTCTCGCGGGATATAACTCGATTGTTGTTGTTGTTGTAGGGTTGATCTTTTTCTTTAAAGGAAGTTGAATGTTATAGTGTGCTGTTAATCTCCTGTTTTATTTCCCTTATGAAAACTTCAACAAATTTCTAAACGTTGTTTGTTCAATGATATTTTAGATAATAGTGAGAAGGAACAGCATCAAAACCACTCGGAGCATGAAATTCAGTCTTCATCAGATTTGATTCCTCACCTTGGAGTCATTGTACCATTGGCTTATGCAATGCCTCCACATGATGGAAATGGAAATCCTATGGTATTATTATAAAAACATGCTATCATAGTTAACATTATTTTGAGCTGTCATATCGTCATTTGGAATTCCTATTAAGCTGTTGGATTTTGGTCCTAGGCAAATCACCTTATTCATTTGCAAATTTGCGTACTAAAGAGAAAATGTCACTGAAGCGCTATTGTTCTGAATTCCCTTCGGACTAAATCTTCATCTGTAAAGATTTATCATTGTTGCAGAAAGGCCCAAGTGGCTGCTCCAGCATCCCCTAGGCCAATGCAAAAGTATACAATTGGGAGAAGGTGAATGCTAAATTTAAGGCAAATCAATTGGAAAAATATGAAAGAGAAAAAAAGGAAATCAGTTATACAGAACAAGAGCTTCAAAGAACCGAATCAAGAAAAGAAAGAAAAATTGAAGTGGGTTTTCCAGACTTGGAATGAGTGTGTGTTCTCCAGACTTTCTAATGCTCCTGAGAGATTCACACATCTCTAGAATGTTCATTCCCCTCCCGGGTAACAGAGGCAGCCAAAAAACTGTTGAAGTTTAAATTTTAAGAAGCCGAGTACATAGGATGCTTGTATAAAAGAAAGAGTGCATAGAATGCTGGGGACTTTTCTACTTGAGCTATGAACTATTGAGAACTTGAGACACTATTGAGCCAAGAAGAGCTTTGCTCATTTTGTGTGTGTTAAACTCTAAGAAAAGAGTTGATTCTATATATCAACACTTCCACCTCTTATGGATCTAGAAGGACCATTATCCGGTATCTTCAGAACCAGATCAGAGCAAATGGTCCATCCGGTACTGAAATGCCAAGTGGATCTCTTGATGAGCCGGATAAACTGGGTTGAGCTAGATAGATCTCTTGATGAGCTGGATAAACTGGGTTGAACTAGATAAATCGAGTTGAACTCGGCTTGGCTAATATTTTTATATAATTTTTAAGTATTTTCTATAAAAAATTGATACATTGAAAAGAAAAAAATATCATTTAACATATATATTTCAAATTTTAGATCATAACATCCTATAATTTAGACTTAATTAGAATAATGCAATATATTTATTAGTTTATATCTAAATGTTTAACATAAGAATATAATAAACCTTTATGTATTTCCACAGTAAAATGGTTTTTGTGTGTGTGTATGTTGCAGGCACAGACGATGTATCCATATCCAGATCGTTATTACAGACCCATATTTGCTCCTTACGATACACAGCCTTATGCTGCACAACCTTACCCAGCTCAGCCAATGGTATGATTCTTTAGAACATTTTTTTTTGGGTGGGGTGGGGGGGTGGACGAAAGCATCACACAGTGTTAAAGACTTAAAGTAGTAGTTAAATATACAGTCACTTGTGGTCAGGTTCATCTTCAATCGATGGGGAGTCAACAAGTACCTGGGGTTCCTTTGCCATCAGATGCAGCACTTGAAGAGCCTGTCTTTGTTAATGCAAAACAATATCATGGCATATTAAGGCGTCGACAATCTCGTGCCAAAGCTGAATCTGTAAACAAACTTCTCAAGCCCAGGAAGGTAGTACATTCTTCCATCATTTTTTTCTGATTGCTTTCCTAATATGCAATTGTGCTATGTGTTTGGAGCCCAGAAATTAGGAAAAGGAATCAGAAAGTGCTAGAGATATTTTTTAATGAAATTATTTTACATGCCCTATAGATTTTTTTAGTCTTTTATAAGAAAAGACATGAAGTATAATAAAATGATTTTGGACAAGCATTATAAATTTATCGAGTTTGAGCTATATATTTTCTATCCTTAGCATTTTCTTTTTTGGGTTCCAAACAGACCCTTAAAAACCCATGCTCGTAACGTTTTATGTGTTTTCACGAAGAGATTTTCAATGCTTTGCAGCCATACTTGCATGAATCGCGACATTTGCATGCACTAAGAAGGGCTAGGGGATGCGGTGGGCGATTTACTTCAAAGAAAAACGAGAAACAATCAGGAAATGAGCCCGACCATTCAGGGGATGATGATGATAAATCACTGCCCATTGTCAACCTCAATTCTGAAGATTGTGAAATTGCCTCAGGACGCGCATCTTGATTCTTTCTACACCCGGGTTTTTTTTAAAGTTTATCTCAGGAACCATACCATACTACCACAAACTTTGCCTCCCACACCCCATTTAGTATCATGTGTGTGAACAAAATATTGGATTAGGTGCTAATTTGGGGTAAGAGGGTTGGGGTGCAGATAGCTTTTATCATATCTCAGTGTGTAAAAATCAGAAATAGGCTTTTTTAGGACAGTGGAAGAAGATGTGGGTAGTGTGACTGTGATTTGCAGTGGAAGATAGAATGAAGATATAGATGCAGAACATGAACTTCTTAAAGTTTGTAATGGTCATTGATCCTACACAAATGTGATGGTGTAAATTACCGGGTTATTCCTTATCGAGTTTGGGACAGCGAGCTTTTAAACTAATACTCCATAGGAGTTTAAAGTGTCTGTTTTAGTTTACGATATTTGGTTGAAGTTATTTTTTATTTAACTTATATGAAATTGGGATGATATTAAAAAATAAAATTTATATGTTTAAAAGTTATATCAAAAATCAAAAGTTTAACAAAATAAGAAGTGACATTATTCTATAAATAAATAAATAAATAAGGTTTGATTATGTGGATAATAAATAAGTAGTTTTGGGGGCAGCCTTCGGTTAGGTTTATTCAAAACAATTAGGAAAAATTGATAAAAATACTTCCAGAAATTCGAAATTTTACAATAAAACTCCCAAATTTAATAAAAGACTCCGGTGCTCCCAATTAAACTATAAGTTTACATTACTACTCCCATTATGCCTAATCAGTTTTTCTTATGCTTACATGTAAGTAATTATGTTTAGTTGACATCTTAGTTGTTTATTTGTTTTAATAAGAGGAAAAAAATTATATAAATACTCCCTGAAATTCAAAATTTTACAATAATACTCTCAAAACCAAATAAACACTCCTGTACTCTAAAAAATATCTTCCTTTTACGTGTTACGATGTTTCATAAAAGTGGTGTGAAATCAAAAAATAAAATTATATATCAAAAAACTAGTCATAAGATCTATAAAACTAGTAATGATATAATTATATTATTTTATCAAATATATAATTAAAAATAGGTAGGCAGAGTAAATAAAATTGATCTTGTTAATACTCTTAATAGTGAATGAGAAGATAATTTTAGGATGGAGGGGGTATCTTGTATTAAAATATAAAAAAATAACTAAGATGCCAATTAAGCTCAATTAATTAATCTTTAATATTACTAAAAAAATTATTTTTACATATTACTATATTAGTTTTTTAATATGTAATTTTTATTTTTTAATTTCACACCATTTTTCCTATAAAATACTTTAAAAATATTTTCAGTCAAATATAGTAACGTGCAACGAGAATATACTTTTGGGAGAACTGGAGTCTTTATTTGATTTTGGGAGTATTATTGTAAAAATTTGAATTTCTATGAGTATCTATATAAATTTTTCCTCTTATGAAAACATAAAAACAACTAAGATGCCAACTTAGCTTAATTAATTACATGTAAGCGTAGAAAAAGCTGATTAGTCTTAATGAGAGTAGTAACGTAAACCTATAATTTAATTGGGAGCACCAGAGTCTTTAATTAATTTTGGGAATATTATTGTAAAATTTAGAATTTTTGGGAGTATTTATATCAATTTTTCCAAACAACTAAAAGCTCTATCGCCTCGCATTACGCAATGCAAGCTTGGACACAGTGCTAGTTTGAATTGGAATTGGCGGTTCCGACACTGCTATCACCGGCGGCCACCGGGATAGGGGAGGGGAACCGATAGCGAAATCGGGCTAGCCCATATCAGCCCAAAGGATTATATAGCCGTTGGGTGAGGGTGGGCACTAAAAAGATTTTTTCTATGAATACTTCTTATTTCTTCCCTAAAATTCACACAATTCTCAATTCTCTATCTCTCATATAATTAATTTTCCTAGTTCTTCGAATCTTCTTCATTTATCAATAATCAATTTCTCATATACTTATTTACTTCTAAATCTTTAATATATATATATATATATATATATATATATATATATATATATATATATATATATATATATATATATATATATATATATATATATATATATATATATATATATATATATATATATATAAAGAAATCTCTCTAAATAAGAGTAAAACATAGAAAAAAATATTAAAATAAGAGCTCCATGTTTTGATCCTCAGAATAGGAGTTTCCATTGTGGTACTGTGACATTGTATATGGATATTTCACAATACTTTTTGATAATATATGTGGTAATAATTGGCACTGTAAATACATTTTAACTTTTATTTCAAAATTAAAAATATTGAAATCTCATTTTATTATATTTCCAATGTTTATTCATAGTTTAGTTTTTTTTTCCTAATATCAATGACAAACTTGGGATGTACCAAGGTGTCTCATGCCCCTACGATGAAGATCACGAAAATGAGTTTGACATCCTCGAACGGTGGAAGCGAAATGAAGACATGTTCCAGTCACTCGAAATGCTAGCTAGACATGTGTTATCTATGTTGGTGTTAATGGTAGTTGTCAGGGGCGGGGGCATGCCTAGACAAGTGCCCCCCCAACGAAATTCCAGTGAAATAGGATAGAGGTACCAATCGGCGAAGGGAGGCCGGATTTGCTCCCCAGATTGGTCCGGCAGGCGGCACTGCGGTCTGCGGTAGCAGGTCGAAGAAGGAGGCGGAGAAATTGCTGAAGAAGAAGAAAATGTACGACATCGTTTTCTTAACTGTTTAAAAAAAATCTTTTGGACTTTGAGCCTTTGACCCATCCCAACACTCCAGAAGCCCAATTGCCCCCAAAAAATACGGAGTACTTTAATTTCAGAAATTCAGCCGCTCAGCGGCTAATTCGACTGTATAACCTGCATCCGGCATTCCACCCTCTCAAAGATCGAACCGACAATTGCCGAAACCGGAAACCAGAAGGCAAGTCACAGAGCTCTTCTTCAGTTTCTTCGATTCTTGAGGTCTTCTTCTCTGCTTCTTCAGCTAATCTTCAAATCTTCTCTGATTGTCTAGACATATGTAAATTTTAATTATCTAATTTCGAGATTTGTTTCTTAATATTTGAAATTTTTGAATATTGCTAAATTATTTTTTGAATTTTGAATATTTATTTTGTTTTGTGGTTCTAGTGTGTTTGTTGATAGTTAAATATTTGGTAAATGTTAATGTAATTTTAAGTTCTAGAGATTAAGATATATGAAATTATTGTTTTAAGGTTATTGATATTTTATTTTGTTACTTTATTATTGAATCAGGAAATTTTGAGACGTGAGATGGATAAATTTGTTATTAGACAAAAGAAGAATTTAGAATTTGTGAGTGATAAAGACAATGAAAAAGAAGCTTCTTCTTCTATAGAGAAGGAAAGTGTGGTTTCAAATGATGATATTATTGCTGATCCGGGATTACGAAAACCAATTAATAGTTATCCATTGGAAATTAGAGATGCAATAAGGAGAAGATACTTAGCAAAAGGTCCGTGTAAGCCATCAATGGATAAATTTCCACAAACTATGACGGGCAAGAACAAAAGACGATTTCAAAGTTATTGGTTTGATAAGATTAAGTGGTTGGAGTATAGTGTCGCCAAGGATAGAGCATATTGTTTGCATTGTTATTTGTTTGCGAATACAAACAAAAATGAATCAAAGGCTTTTACTGAAGTTGGATTTAACAACTAGAAAGATTGTCCGAAAGCATTTGTTGACCATGAAGGAACCAAATAAAAATCTCATTCTTATTGTAGAATTAAAGTTCAACAATATCTTAATCAAAGAGAGAACATAGATTATGTCTTATCGACTAACACTGATGCCATTGAAGATGATTATCGTACTCGGTTAACAACTGTGGTAAAAGTGGCTCGATATCTTTTGGGGGAGGGCTTAGCTTTCAGGGGACATGATGAATCTCCTAAATCAATCCATCGAGGTAATTTTCTTGAGCTCATATCTTGGTTTTGTAAGACAAATATAGCTGCTGACAAAGTCATGCAAACAAATGCTCCTAAAAATAATCAAATGACTTCTCCTACCATTCAAAGAGATACTATTCAAAGCTGTGCAATGGAAACCAGAAATGTCATATTGAATGAGATAGGAAAAAAGAATTTTGCTCTTTTGATTGATGAAGCTCGAGATTACTCCGTGAAAGAGCAAATTTCGGTGATTTTGAGATTTTTGAATGATAAAGGGGAGATTATAGAACGTTTTATTGGATTAATTCATGTTGAGGAGACATCTGCAAAGTTTCTTAAAAAATCAATTGATGAATTTTTTGCAAAACATGGATTGTCCATTTCAAGACTAAGAGGTCAAGGTTATGATGGAGCTTCAAATATGCGCGGTCAATTTAATGGGTTGAAAACACTTATTCTTAATGAAAACAAGAATGCATACTACATTCATTGTTTTGCCCACCAACTTCAGTAAGTTATTGTTGCGCCTGCACAAGATAGGGAAAGCATACTTGATTTCTTTGAAAAGCTATTGATGATTGTTAATACAGGTGGATCCTCATGCAAACGGAAGGATTTTCTCCTTCAAGTACACGAGGAGGAAACTTTGCATCGCATAGAAATAGGTGAATTGTCAATTGGTAGGGGGCAAAATCAAGCAACATCTTTAGCTCGACCAAGTGATACACGTTGGGCTCTCACTACAAAACTCTTGTTCGTCTCTTTGACATGTGGAATGATATTGGTACTGTGCTAAATTCGTTACACAAGCCGGGTGAAACGCCCAGAATTAAAAACAGTGCTAGTGGCATTCTTGATAAAATGGATTCTTTTCAGTTCGTTTTTATTGGGAAGTTTATGTTAAAAGTTCTAGGTATGACTAACACTTTATCAAAGATATTACAAGCATGAGATCAAAACATTAGTTGTGCTTTGAATATGATTGGTGTAGTAAAAAGAACTTACAAGATTTTAGAGATCATGGTTGGGATTCCTTTTTGAAGGAATTTAGTGAATTTTGTGAAGAACATGCAATTGATGTACCTAACATGGAAGATTATCTTCATGGGCGATCAAGAAAGAAGATGAAAGGTGGTGAACTCATGACAAATTATGTGCATTTTTGCGGAGAGATCTTTGCAAAGGTCTATTACTCTTATTAATTTTAAATTTTAATATCATTTTTGGAAGTATTTTAATATCATAACATATTAAATAAGTTATTATTATTATAATTATTCTTTATTTGATGTTAGGTCATTGATATTCTTGTTGTGGAAATGGATAGACACTTTATAGAGACAAACACAAATTTACTAAGATGTGTAATGTGTCTTAATCCTCTTATTGCTTTGCGAGTTTTGATCAAGTTCGGTTATTGGAACTTGC